TAAACCGAAGGAAAATGAATGATTTAATTACTAAATGTAAAGTTTGTTTAAGGCGACGCAGGGGCGCAGTAGGTAGTGCCGTCGCCTCACAGCAAAAAAATTGCTGGTTCAAGCCTCAGCTGGGTCAGTTGGCATTTCTGTGTGGAGTTTGCATGTTCTCACTGCGTTCACATGGGTGCTCCGGTTTCCCTCACAAGTCCAAACATATGCCCTATAGGTCAATTGAACAAACTAATTGTCTGTAGTGTATGTGTCTGAATAAAAGTGCATGAGTGTTTCCCAGTGATGGGTTGCAGCTAAAAGGGCATTCACTGCGTAAAATATGTGCTGAATAAGTTGGTGGTTCATTTCGTTGTGGCGACCCCATATTAATAAAGGGATTAAGCCTAAAAGAAATCAATGAATTTTCTTTTATTTATTTAAATTCAGTCCATATAAATTGTTTGCAACCACTTTTTCAAAGCCAGGCCAGATTCTCCCTTCTGCCAATCACTCCGATTACTGTTATCTGTAAACCTGTACGTCATTCCACTTCATCACTTCAGCACCATAAGAACCCTCACTCAGTGTTCGGCCTCTTGGCATACACGAAGGACTGCACTCTCCTAATAGTGTCAAATACTCTACTTACCTCTCTTTCTGTGATCTCTAGTGTCTGTGTCTCACCTTCCTACTGTTTTTTCATGATCCTTCCTCTGGTTGTCATCGATCCCCGTACCAGATTATCCGTGTGCCTGGCTTCTCTGTATACTCCTCCAGTCCTCCTTGATTCATCTGGTCATCTATAACCATCCTGCACATCAGTTACTGTGAGTTCTGTTTACCCGGTCATCCATATAATAAACTGCTGTTATACTTACATCGTGACAATGTGGCTCAGTGTTCAGCACTGTCGTCTCACAGTAAGAAGGTCGCTGGTTTGAGTCCCGGCTGGGTCATTTCTGTGTGGAGTTTGCATATTTTCCCCGTGTTGGCGTGGGTTTCCCCCACAATCCAAAGACATGCGCTATAGGGGAATTGAATAAACTAAATTGGCCGTAGCGTATGAGTGTGCATGGGTGTTTTCCAGTATAGGGTCATAGCTGGAAAAGCATCCTCAACCACATAACATGTGTAAAACATATGCTGGTTAAGTTGGCATTTCATTCTGCTGTGGCAACCCCAGATTAAGGACTAAGCCGAAAGAAAATGGATGAATGAATGAATGAATGAATATACTTACATCTCTGGTTCTCGTCTCCCTCTCTGACACACTTGCCTTAAAAATGTAGTAAATCCAATTAATCATTTTTTTTTCAGTGTATGATTTTTTTTTATGCTCATTCCTGTTTTTTTTGTTTGTTTGTTTTTTTGGTAAATGTGCTTCCATTGTACTTTATAAGCATTTTCTTATCAAATGTTTATCGTACTCTGTTTTCAATTTTTTACTCGATATTCCAAAATGTGCATAAAAAAGGTGGATGGAAGCAGGTAATGAATGGTCAAACTAACGACTGAGAATAGAACAATTGATCAAATCACACGAACAGGTGTATGAAACAGATAGATTGAACATCAAATGGAAAGGTCGACTGAATCATAGAAAGACAGAGTGGTTGATCAAATGTATTAAAAATAGATGCAACGATTGATTGACTGATGGATGGACAGTGATTGACAGACAATTGATAGATGACAGAATGAACAATCAAACAAATGATGATGTAGCAAATGAATGATAGCTTGAACATACAATAGGTTTAGTGAACAAACATTCAGTCAAAGAAACAAAAGATGAGAGAAAATGAAGCGCTATAGAAATAAATAATAAATGTTCAGTCAAATAAATGACAGACTATGCAAATTAATAAACAATCAACCAAACAGTCCACCAATTGACAAAGCAATTGATTAATATAGAAACATATAAACAGAGCAAAGAAATCATCTGTCGAATGATAGAACAAATACAAGCAATCGATAGACAGACAAAACAACCAAAGCATTAAATGTTAGACAAGACAGACAGACAGACAGACGCAGAAAGAAAGACAGACAGGTAGACAGATATAGATAGACAGACAGATATAGACAGAGACAGACAGATAGACAGATATAGATAGATAGACACAAGTAGGCAGACAGACACGAATAGACAGACAGATAGATATAAATAGACAAACACAAAGACAGACAGACAGATAGATAGATAGATATTAATAGACAGACAGACAGAAATTAACAGACAGACAGACAGATATTAATAGACAGACAGACAGACAGATATTAACAGACAGACAGAAAGATATTAACAGACAGACAGATATTAATAGACAGACAGATATTAATAGACAGACAGACAGATTGATAGATTGATAGATATTGACAGACAGACAGACAGACAGACAGACAGATATTAATAGACAAACAGACAGACAGACAGACAGATAGATATTAATAGACAGACAGACAGATATTAATAGACAGACAGACAGACAGACAGATATTAATAGACAGACAGACAGACAGACTGATAAATAAATAAATAGATAGATAGATAGACAGATAGATAGATAGATAGATAGATAGATAGATAGATAGATAGATAGATAGATAGATAGATAGACAGACACAAGTAGGCAGACAGACACGAATAGACAGACAGACAGATATAAATAGACAAACACAAAGACAGACAGACAGACACAGACAGATAGATAGATAGATATTAATAGACAGACAGAGAGACAGACAGATATTAATAGACATATTAATAGACAGACAGACAGATAGATAGATATTAATAGACAGACAGACAGACTGATAAATAGATAGATAGATAGATAGATAGATAGATAGATAGATAGATAGATAGATAGATAGATAGATAGATAGATAGATAGATAGATAGATAGATAGATATTAATAGACAGACAGACAGACAGACAGGTAGACAGATTTAAATAGACAAACGCAAAGATAAATATAGAGATAAACAGACAGGGAGGTAGACAGACGGATGTAGACTGATAGACAGATAGTTAGACAGACAGGCAGAAAGACAGATATAGACAGACAGGTAGACCGATATAGATAGACACAAATAGACAGATAAATAGACAGTGAGGCACACAAACATATAAATAGACACAGACATACAGATAGACAAACACAAATAAACAGACAGATATAGGTAGACACACAAAGACAGACAGTTACACAAAAATAAATAGACACAGACAGACAGACAGACAGACAGACAGATAGACGGATGGACAGAGAAAGACAGGAAGAGACAGATATATAGATAAAAAGACAGATCTAGTTAAACAGAAATTCAGCCAGTCAGCCAGAAAGACAAATAAACAGTCAGAAAAACAGACAGATAAAAAAAAAAGACAGACTGATGACACACAGATGGACTAATCAAACAAACAACTGAAAGATAAACAGAATGATCAATCAGTACACAGACAGACACAAACAGAATAACAAACAATAGACCGAATGTTTGATCGATCAAATGACAGATGAAGCGATCAGAAAAACAATACATCGACTGATTAACGCACAGACAGAACGACAGTCAGGTAAATAAATACCAAACAAAATGAATATATTTAACAACGTAAAGAACAAAATAGCCTTTTATTCACTTCCATATTAGTTCCGAGTCTCTTTTCTCTTTAGAAAACAAGATTAATATCTATCACATACACAACCAAGTATAATGTGCAGATGAAAAATAGTTTTGTCTCTTTCCAGTACATATAATATAGTATTTAGACAGTTCAGAAAAATAAAAGCCTCTCCGTCCCTTTAGGAAATAAACTCCCAGAGAGTGATTCTCATCCGGGAAAGGGAGCTCAGAGATCTGCTTCCCAACAATCCAAGAGTCCACATACTCCTCCTTCAAACGAGTAGCTGACTTTTTAGATTGTTTTTTTTACACAAATAAATGCGTAGCGCAAAATATCCCAACACATTATAGAATATAGAACCATACAATATGTTAACAGATCCCACAAAACATTTCAAAGAGAAAAAAAAAAAACAAGTGAAAAGACTTATTACAGCATCTGACAACTGCAGATGTTCGGATTCAGTAACTTGAAAAGCAAAACGAGGCAAACGTCTTAACAGTTTCGAGCCACAATTAATATCAACTCCATCATCTCCAATTAGGTGGTGGATTTGTGACTTCATAAGTACACTACCTGACAAAAGTCTTGTTGCCTATCCAAGTTTTAGGAACAACAAATAAAGTTGACTTCTATTTGATCATTCGATATCAGAAGTGACTTTTATGAAAGGCCTTTAAATTACACTTTTTTTACCTGAACAAAATATGATCATGCTGTGATTTTTAATGATTTAATTAGGACAGTAAGGTCTGACTTTGCTCAGACAAAACGTCATGTCACTTAACAGAAAAAATGTACAGTATCGAATATAAAGTCAAGGTGCAGTGAAAAAAATAATTAATAATGTGGATGACTCCCATGAGCTTGGAGGACTGCATCCATACATCTAATAAATTAATTAATGAACTAATAAAACAATCTGAAATGGCAAAGGAAGTGTTCTTGCAGGACTCCCAGAGTCCATCAAGATTCTTTGGATTCATCTTCAATGCATCCTCCTTCATCTTACCTAAGACATGCTCAATAATGTTCAGGTCAGATGACTGGGCTGGCCAATCCTGAAGCACCTTGACCTTTTTTGCTTTCAGGAACTTGATGTGGAGGCTGAAGAATGAGGAGCGCTATACTGCTGAAGAATTTGCCTCTTCTGCGGTTTATAATGTAATGGGCAGCACAAATGCTTTCATACCTCAGGCTGTTGATGTCGCCATCCACTCTGCAGATCTCTCGCACGCCCCCAAACTGAATGTAACCCCAAAACATGATTATTCCTTTACCAAACTTGACCGATTTCAGTGAGAATCTTGGGTCTATGCAGGTTCCTATAGGTCTTCTGCAGTATTTGTGATGTTTGGGATGCAGCTCAACAGATGATTCATCAGAAAAATCGACCTTCTGCCACTTTTTCAAATGATCAACTAGAAGTCAAGTTATTATTTGGTGCTCTTACTACTGGGATTGACGACAAGACTTTTGTCAGGTAGTGCAGGTAAAGCGAGCATTAAACAGGTTTTCTCAATGAGAAATAGTGATATGATTGACTGTCTTACAATGGAAAAATTGTACACGGTACGAAATCTTTGCTGGTATAGAGACTCTACTTAGAAACTCCTCCACAAAGGAGAAAAACCGTCCCCGCCAACATCTCTACGGTCCAATCAATTATTCAATAAATGGCTTTTTTATGTAACACATCTTCATTTGCATAAAGGATTCAGTGACTAGAACACTTACACCGACCAACAATCATTTACAATTGTTTTTTTTTGTTTTTTTTCCAAAATCTGCACAATTAAAACTTGCACAAATACAATTTCTCCACAATTTCGGGTCTAACAAGGAAATAGTATTGGGGAAAACGTTCAAAAACAATTTTCAGCCTTGTTTTTTTAGCTCAATAAATATTCCTCTGCATTAATAAACCATATTCTGGGATGAATTTAGAAAATAAGTAATGTATTCCAAAGCTATGAATACCAAAATAGTCTATCACTGGACAAGCTCGTATCCAACTTTAAGGCCTATTAATTGTGGTATCAGGATACCCAAACAGTCTTTTTTAGGTCCAGAGACGTGCAGCATTAGATTGATTGTGTAAAAGGGGGCAGCGATTTCATCAACATGACAAAAAGCTCATTAATATTACACTAACGCTAATCAGTTACCTCAATATTTGTAAAACAGAAACAGTTCTTAATAGATATGGCTCGCTATTTCTGTCTTTTGAGCTTGCTAGTTTGTAAACAACCCATCCGGGGATACATGAAGTCATCAGTATGTAATAGTTTGATTCGGGGAAGCGTGTGCAGGATGCCGTCACTGTATTGATCAGTACAGTAAAGATAACAGCAGCATCATGGCAGGGAGAAAGAGGAGGAGTTTCGCTCAGAGACATCAGCTCAAATGCATTCGCAGTGCATTACAGAGCAAAAGCCGCACAGACATTCAGAGGCACAAACGATCCAGAGAGAAAACTTGACGAGACGCCAGAGCTACCACACCGCATTAAAGATCGAGAACGGGGAATGCATTAATTGCAAGTCGATAAATTCAGAAATCACAGTGAGTTCTTTGATATTGCAGACTTGTTATTTTGCAAATGCATGGCGGAAAAACCACAAGTAACTCACCGGTGAAAATCAATCAATTTGGTTTGTGAATTTGATCTGGGTTAAGCTCCCATCAGGTCACTGAGCTTAGCAAATCTGGGGGTGGGGCAAATCCCAAAATGCCCCTCTAAAAAACATTCAATGTGTCGACTTGTGGGCGTCCGTGACATCATCTGTACATATCAGAGCCCACCGAAAGCTTCTCTCAAAAGCGACTTCTCTCAAAAACAAACAGTCATTCACTGAGATTAGAAGAGTTGGCATAACAAGACGTAACAAATCAGCCATGATGTGCAGAAAATGCAGGAGAGGACAATCCGAGAGGTGACACGCGTAAGCAATTGCAGCATGCTACGAGCAAATCCTCCCAAGTTCATTACAATTACGCAGATATCAAAATACAGGAATAGACAGAAAAAAGCTTCAACTTAAATGTAGTGAAAGACACCGACCGCCCATATGTTCTTCCAATTGAAAATATAGATGTATTGTTTTAAGTCCGGCAAACTCTAATCTGATTAAAATGATAGAAAATGGCCATGCTGTAAAAGTTGCATGATTTATAAGCAATCACTATCCATAAATAGCTTTCGCTACATATAACCATCATGATTTCCCAATAGGAAACTTGAGACTCAAACGATAAGCACAATATATGCATATAATCGTTGGCTTTGTTTGTAGGTAAGAAAGAGTCTTGGTGTATTTGAGTGTCTGCTTTCACGCATCAAGCTGTTGACAGCTTTGAGGTAACAACCGTGAGTGCGATTTTAACACATCAGACGAACATAGCATAAGAGGCAGGCCAAGTCTGCGCAAAACTACAAACCATATCAAAAGCAGCTGAAGCTACATACCTCCCGTTCTGCCATTCACCACTTTGACCAATTACAACACTTATTGAGTTTTACACTTATAGCTGGCGAGTCGGATGCATCAGTTATATATACAGTGTCAGATGTGAGCGTTTTGGTTGTGTGAAGGTTCTTATAGCCCTTTGATGCGGCAGAGTGAAAATCAAAATGACAGCGAGAGAAAGAGACATGAGAGGGAAAAAGGAGACAGAGATGCTAAGATGCATTGAATATAAACAGTTGTCTTTGGTCTCCTCTGACGTTTTCTTTAAAAAAAAATGCAAAGCTTCAGTGTGACACCTTGCCTGTTTTGTTGATCCTGCCAGAGAAAGGGCTTCTTAAAAGAATTATAATCAAAAACAGGAAAGCAAGAACAAATAATTGAATCTGTCAGATCTTGGAATGGGTGTAACATATTTACAAGAAAGTTTTGAAATAAAGGAATGACGTCGTAGAGGAAAAAGACTGATACATTGCAGATCTTTGTATCATTCAGAATCTCTTTTTTTTCTCCTTGGTTCCACCTCTTGAAATTGTAGGAATGGCCAACATCCCTCTGGCATTCTCCTTTGTCCATGGAAAAACACAAAATGTTTAAAACAACAGTGTATCACATCCTTTAAAAACTGATTTGTGTGTCTGTAATGCCAAAAAATTTAAGAAACTTGCGTTTTAATCTGTTAGATTTCAAACGCATGCTTTCTGTTTTTACAAAATAAAGATGTTTTTTTTTTTTTAAGAAAGCAATACTCTTTATGTCTGTAAAGGAAAATGGCATTTCATGCCTCAATTAACTCGAAGGTTACCTCGTCTGGTCCTTAGCTCATAATGTTATGGTGAGAAATCAAAAATAAAGTGAGACCTCAGTGTTCCAAATTCACAATCTCATGATGAGAATTCAGGAAAGTGCATCTAGAAATGCACAAAAAATAAATAAATAATCGCTGATGACCGTATAAAAGGTAAAGGGAAAATCAAAAGAGCAAATAGCCTATGAAATGCCACCATGGAGCCCAGGACCGGGCTGCTCCGTCAACCAATTGTGAAGGCCGGCTGAGAGCACACTCCTGTCGCCGAGTCGTCACGGGAGCAGAGGCTCCGCCCAACTCACAGCTGAACTTATGGAGTGTCCCGTCTTTCATTGGCCATCTTCAGCTCCTCATTAGCTGGGGAGGGAGCCAATGACCATGGCAGGAGAGAAAGGAATTAAAATGCGAGTTATGGTTTCTGTGGTCCAGGGGAGAGAACGACAGGTGTGGAAAGGCCGTCCACGCTCAGTGCTGGGATCTGGATCTGATTGCTTCCGTTAGAGGGGAACTGCAGGAAAAAACAGGAAGGTATTAATTAGGACTTATGCATGGCTTGATTAAAAGTATGCTTAATGTGTAGCATTTACGTTGCAAGGATCGGTACGGAACGGTAATTATTGTGAAAAGCACTAAACAAATAAACAAATTAAATTTTTAATAGGTTTTTAGTAATATTTAGAATTGGATCTTATTTTTATATCACAGGTTTTCATTTTTATTTCATTCATTTGTTAATTTTGTCATTTGTTTTTTCTTTATATATTTTATTTGAGTATTTAAAATGGAAATTCCAGTGACTGTTTATGTTAAGCAATGAAAAAGCTTTTATTGTATGAAATAAGGTTCATTATCACCAGTGTTGGGGGTAATGCATTACAAGTAACGCAAGTCAAATAATAATATTAATTTTTAAAGAAACAAGTAAAGTAATGCATTACTTTTTTAACAATTAAGTAATAATATTTGAGTTACTTTTTAAGTTGAATTAGTTCACTTTTAAAATATAAATATCTGAATTATAATTAAAGTAATCAATGAATTGCGCAGACAATGAGAGAATGTGTTCGAAATACTGAACGCATTGAACAAAAGCAAAAGGTTATTGTCTCAACGTACAGTGATTTTACATAAGACAATTAGTACAGAAGTAGCAAACGCATTGCTTTAAACTTTCAATGATCTGTATCAGGAAGATCACTAATAATCTGGGTCAGGAAGTGTTTAGATAACATTATCCTAAAAATGTTCATGTGCTTTTAAAGATAAATGAATGTGTAGGTTATACAGTGCACTGTTAATTGCAGAACTCCTCTATAACAATTAAAAAAAAAAAACAAGCTCTGAAAGAGATCAAGCATCAGCCAGGTTATTAAAAAAGGCAAAAGCACCTCAAAATAACGTAACACATTACTTACCATAAAAAGAAAAACGTCATGCAAAAAATAAAAAATAAATAAATAATGCAACTAGTAATTTTTTAGAGAGTAACTCAAAACTGTAATGTATTACTTTCAAAAGTAACTTTCTACAACTTTCACCTTATCACAACAGACAATTTACAAAATGAATGCTTGGAGTTTATTCACAATACAATTTCAATGCTTAAATAACCTGGTAAATGAAGCTAGTAAATAATATTGGTTTCTAGTTTTAATAAAATGTAAACTCAGCCCAACAAACATATCTGCCAAGACAGGCTAGGGTTAGGTTTATTGTGCCTGTTCTTTAAAAAAAACAACATGTACATATATTCATCCAATCTCTGTACTGCAGCTACAGTATAGTCCAGCAGAGGATGCTCACATGCTTTTCTTGGGGTCAGTCCAACAACAACAACAAAAAAACCTTCTCAAAAAGCAACACAATTGCAATCAGATCCATTATTCAAAGAGCCAAATTAAAGACGGTGAAATCGCTGAAATGCTGAGCTCTACTTGAGATTCATTCATTGATTTTTAAATGGAAGCAACACAAATATGGTAAAAGGTCAGCAATGCCTTCATGTATAATAAATTAAAAAAAGCTATACAACTTTCATTTCTGTTGCTAATGCAAACAATTCAGCATGAACGTGATTTACCTAAGGTGAACATCTTCTGTGCTATTACAGCCAATTAAGTTTTTGGACCTTTTTTTCTTTGAAGGTGCAACTGTAACTGGGCAAATCTATCTGCAAATGTTGCAGACTTGGCTGTTCCCTCAACTTAAAGAAGCAGCACGTCAATTCATATTCCACTAGGATGGGGCACCACCCCATTAGCACTTATCTGTTCGTGCCTAATTGAGCTAAAGGTACCAAAGCATTGTAATCAGCCACCAGGCAGCTCGTGACAGAGCACTTAATCTCTGGCCTCTAAGAAGCCCTGACCTCACCCCATGAGATAAGTTAAAGATATGGTGCCCTATCATACACTGAATTTATAAATAGTTTTAAAACAAATCTTTGCGCTTAAAAAACAAAATTAATTTTGTAGGCTAATGGATGCATGTGCGTACAACACGTTTCCTCATCAACGAAAGAGAAAAAATGAAAGTGAAAGTAAAGGCCGATTGGAGGAGGCTCATCTCTCATTCTCCCACTGCAGATGCTCTGTTTAACCGTTTTCTCACTAGTGAAGCATTCAGTTTTTCCACTTACAAAGTCTGCCATGTAAATAGCAAATGCGCTATGGCACCACGCAACTGACTCTTAAAGGGAATGCAAGATGAGGCTCTGATTGTTTTTTTCTCAAAACACACCTATAACTCATTAAGAGAATAAGCTCAACCCTGTTAGACTATGCAACGCGACGCAGAGCCTATTTTTCCGTCCTTAAAATAGCAAAAGTGGATTTGGAGACACCCTTTTGCGCCCTGTGCATCAGACTTTGTGCCTAGATGGTTAAAATAGAATCCATGGTGTTTCGCCCACCTCTACCAGCTAACATTGAGGAACTAAAAGAAGGGATAACTGCAGCTATCCAAACTGTTACGCCCGAGATCCTATGGAGAGTGTGGAATGAATTCAAGTATCGGAGTGATGTCACTCGAGTGCCTGTAGGGAGTCATATTGAACATCTATGAATTTGTTTTCGACTGAAAAAAACTTTAAGTACTCTTCACATTGATTAATTACCAAATGGTCAATCATGTTTATTTGATTAAATACAGATTTTCAAAGTTGTCATTCTTTTTGAATCACCCTTTATTATAGCAAATTGGAGCAATAGCAAAATTTAAATAAATGATGTGTGTTTACAAGTGTGGGAATAACTGGCTAGCTTTAAACAGCATGGCTCATATATTCAGATGTGTCATCCAAAAATTATTCCTTCTAATGGCTCGGTTTCTTTTTCCCGCCAGAAATAAAAAACATTTAAGAATAAAAAAAAGAAATCAACAAATAATTAAGAATAAAAATGATCACAAGACTATTTGGTCTAAATTAAAACTTTATTTCAAACAAAAGAGCCCTTTTATTCAACATATTTTGTTTCCTCCATGCCAAAAAGCTTTCATTCCTCAACTGCAAGTAGTCAAAGTCAAAATGATTAGTCCTTCTGTGAATTTTTCTTTTCTTTTTCAAATATTTCTCAAATGATGTTTAACAGAGCAAGGAATTTTCACAGTATTTCCTATAATATTTTTTCTTCTAGAGAAAACCTTATTTGTTTAATTTCTGCTAGAATAAAAGCAGTTTTAAATTTTATTAAAAAAACATTTTAAGGTCGATATTATTAGGCCCCTTTAGCAATATTTTTTTCTGCTCGTCTACAGAACAACCAGCGTTATACAATGACTTGCCTAATTAATCTAGTTAAGCCTTGAAAAATATCAAGTCGAATATTATGTACTGTCATCATGACAAAGATAAAATAAACCAGTTATTAGAAATGAGTTTTTAAAACTATTATGTTTAGAAATGTGTTGAAAAAAATCTACTCTCAGTTAAACAGAAATTGGGGACAAAAATATACAGGGGGGCTTGAGTTGAGAAAAGAAGATGTATATCAAATGTTTATGGTGTGGTGTATTCGCTGGTTATGAATGGAGTGGGCAGAGAGTACATTCTCAGCCATGTGATGCGCTGAGCGAGTGTGAGGAGACAGATGGTGTGCTGCTGCCATGCTGTGGACAGAAACTGTGTGGACAGGAAGTCTCACCTGGAAGGAGAGCTTGGCAGGGCTGCGTGGAGCGATAGGACTGAGCGTGCTCCAGAAGTGAATGGTTGATGGCAGCGGACTCGGTGTCAGCAGCACTGGAGTCTGAGCGGGAGAGAAAAGGGAGGGAGACAATTCAAGAGGTTGGTTGTATGTGTGTGTGTGTGTATGTGTGTGTGTCATTTTACAAGGTCATTGTGTTATTTCTCTTTGTTTTTGGTTATCTGGTAACAGAAGTGTTCAGTATCTCTCTGCCTTTGTGAAAAATCCCATTGAGAGCTTGCAGCATGTGAAGCACCCTTTCACACAGCACAAATGCTATTGTTGCCTCACACACACACAAAAACACAAGATATTTCAGATAAACATAAAAAGTACAGCCTAAGCAAAGATCTGGCTCTTAAAAACGCAGGTAGGACTTCAATGAAAATCTGTAAGATAACGCTTAAGATCTGTGATCAGTCATTTATCAGTCATTGTGTTGAAATCAGAGTGGTCAAACTGATTAAATAGTTTTTCCTGAGGTGTACAAGTCTTAATAATGAAATTGTGAGCAGCACAAATCCAATCCCACCACATTGAGCAACCAACATTTTTAATAGTCTTTTCTACCCTATTAAAACATATGCAAGTAAACCCACTTCTTGGACAAGTAAAAAAAAAAGAAGAAAATTTGAAATATACTTGCGGTGGTAGGCGGATTGAAACACATCTTTTACCCACAGCACATAGATGGTCAACTACATGCGACAAACGAAAAAGTAATGTGATGTTAACTATATTTTTATTTAATGGGACCCTGTTTAACACCTTTTCTTTTTCGATGGTTTAAAGTTATTTAAAAAAAAGGCTGTTGAAATGAAAGAAATCCACCATTTTCTTACTTTTAGCCCATTTAGGAGCCATGTGCACCCACAGACAGGTAAAGACTGCTCTCTCTCTCTCTCTCTCTCTCTCTAAAGTTGCTTTATTGGCATGACATTTTGTACAGTATTGCCAAAGCATTTAAGATTTGTATTAAGTATGTAATATAATAACATAATTAAATTAATAAAGTATACAGCAAATGAGAAATAAATAACAGTAAAAAGAAACAAAAATAGACATTATTGCTAAAAGTTATAATAATTACAAGAATGAAAAGTTAAATTATTTAAATGAGGCAAATTAGTTGATTAACATTTTCGCAAACTTTTGTTGCAAAAGGTGCGTCTCTGTGGGTCTGCAGAGCATGTTTTTTTAATAATAATTTTTTTTTATTTTCTTTTTTTAAACAATATTATGGTAGCCAAGAGCTTAACATGCTGTAATTTTATAAAAAACATGCGCAATTACAATAAAACACCAGCAAATTGAGAAAAGATTCTCATCGGTTTGACATCAAACATGTTGCAAATCCACACAACGCATACACGTAAGGAAAAGAGGCTGCATTTCTCACAACACATGCAAATAGCATGGAACACAACGGAAATGTTTCATGGGGACCCTAAAAATGCGACAATGAGTTGTCTCTCACTATAACGCTGTTCACATTTCGGGGCCTCGCAGTTTCGTGGATTTTTTTTTGTGTGCAATTTGGCTTTTTATTTTGCAGCACATTGTGTTCTGTGTTCTGATTGGCCGTAGGCCATTGTCAATCAGTGTCTGTGTCTCCTGTACAATACAGAATGTGTTCAGCTTGCCAAATTAATATAAATCTTTGATCGCTAACAGTGTGAGTTTCAACAAGGATGCAAAAAGGGTTGTAACTGTCTGCAGCAAGACCATTGTAAAGGGGGTCACACACCGGATGCGCTTCGCCATGACCCACTGCGCAGCAGCCATGCATTTTAGAACTGTAAACATAGGTTTATGTTAGGGTACGCACACTGGCGCCGCAAGTCGTTTGCTGTCTGTGGTGTCCAGCTACAATTCAAGACACTGTTCATATTTCTACCGTGCCACAGAGAGCCATATGAATAATTTCATTTCAAATAACATGCTAATGTGCGAGTCTGGTGTGTGTTACTTCCAACTGTCATGTGTGGCGCATCCGGTGAGCAACACCCAAAGGATGAATTCTGCTTTCTCTTTGTGGATCAGTGACTACAGGAAAAAGAACATTACGCTGGATGCCAAAATAATCCACACAAAAGCTAAAAAGTTTTATGAACCTTTTGCTGACAGCAGTGAATGTTTGCCCCTGACAACAGGTTTTGATCTTTGATTTCATTCAATAGCACTAGACTTATTTTTCTATGAAAGTTTGAACTTTGAGAGTGTTTAATCAAGAGAAAAAAAGTGTAAAAATGTTAATGCCTGTCTGAAAAAAGTGTGTAGTGACAGGTTTTACAACCTTAAAACATCTATAATAGAAACAAAAAATAAAGCTGACTACTTTGCAGATTTCGCCTACTGTGGGTTATTTTTAGAACATAACTCCCGCGAATAATGAGAGACCACTGTATATTACTAAACAAATTCATAAGAAAAATGTCCACTACAAAGAACAGTATGTAAGCGGGCATGTATTCACAACAAACAAAGGCATGTTTTGATGATGCCTTGATTGAATGTGGAATCATGGTGGTTGTAGTCTTCATTACATCCGATGGGACTCCGTCAGAAATCATTTTAATGGATGAGCTAAAGTATTCAACACTTATTTTTATGGCAGCATGATGCAGAGGAAATTGCGCGTGATTGAAATTGAGGAAATGTGAGGGTGATGTGGCACAAAAGCTGCAGAGTTTTTATTATGAAACAGTCTACCACTTTGGTTTTTATCACTCACGATCATTTATAGAAAAAGCAACGCTGCTTTATACTAAATAACACTTTAAGGTTCTGTTAAAATGCTGCTCTGTGCAGCCTATTAAAATACAAAACACATTAAAGCATATTTGGCGTTTGCCTATTTTCTATAAAACCAAACCAAAATCGAGGGTGTACTGTCATTAGCATGAACACACAGAATATGCTCCGTCTCACTATTCAAAGTGGATTATACCCCCTAAATTATTTATTGATAAATGTTTTCTCTTTTTTTATTCTTGTTAGATGTATATTGTGTTTGCCTATAATGCAACTCAACCTTGAGATGACATTACTTTATATAACATTGCATGTACCATTTTGTTAGTAAGTTCAGTTTGAAACAAAGAAAAAAGGCTTATTTCTCTGGATTTGAACATTCTTCAAAACGTTTGAGATTGTGTAATTATTCAAGTCAGCAAAATATACAACACTGTTCTATTACATGAAAATAAATTGTACATATTGTGCGATATTAAAACAAGCCTAATGAAGAGCTGAATGACTCACCAGGGAATGTGAGGTGATGACTGTGGGTGTTAAGGTGTTTGTGGCACTGCCAGAGGCAAGCAGGCTGTTCACCGCTGCATTGACCTTATCCAGTGAGAGTCCAGGGGGCAACAGTGTAGACGAGGATGGCAGCTCCAGCACACGTGGCTTCTTTGATTTAGGAGGCTGGACGTCCTGCGTGCTCGCCTGGAGGGAGGCTGATGCAGTATTGGTGTCCTCTGAAAACAGTTTTAAATGAGAGGCTGACATTGAGGATTGATTTTTAAGCACTGCGGTTTTGGTGACCTATAAAAATGTTGAAGAACTGTGAAGCATGCCTTTGAGTGGCATATAGTTTTTATATAAAGCTTGAATGAGAAATTAGGCAAAAGATATTTACATCTGATCATGTACTTAATAATTACTGCAAACAATTGTTCTACAAAGTACTGTACACAACAACAAAAAAATGTTTGGCTGGGAAAAAGTAATATTTAAAAAAAAATCATCTATAAGGTCAATTGATATAAAAAACAACAACAGTAAGGACATTTATGGAGTAGAAATAACTAGAATTTTTGACTTCAAAGTGCAAGTCATATATTTGTGACTGTTGGTATCCTGCAATTTGTGTTTTAATTTCAGTTGTTCAGCGTTGACGTTCAGTAAATAATCATAGATAGTAGATAGTGTGTGTTTCCTTCAGTTATTTTAAAATCAAGTAATGCACCCTTCATTCAGAAATCTGCGAGCATATTTACAATACAAAACCTGTCAGTGAACTATAAGGGCAAAAAAATAAATAAAAAAGTAAAACAATCGTTTATTAATCGTAATCAAGTTCAAATGTTAAATTAATCGATAATTTGATTTTAGACCTCGATATCAAGAACACATTCGGGAACTTTCACTCATCCTTCGTTCTTGCAATCTTGAGTTTTGGAACTGAACTTTGATGGCTGATGACGTTAGAGAACCCGAGGATGCAAGAACGCATATTGAGAAACAGCAATATATTAAGTCAAAACTAAATTTTATTTTTGACGCGATTAATCTTTGCCCAGCATTAAAAATCAAAACAAAACATTTTTTAAGCACTAAATATACAGATGAAGTCAGAATTATTAGTCCCCCCGTTTATTTTCTGCTTTATTTTTTTATTACCGTTTTATTTTTTTTATTCCCAATTTCTGTTTAACGGAAAGAAGATATTTTCAACACATTTCTAAACATAATAGTTTTAATAACTCATTTCTAATAACTGATTTTTTTCTAAAAACTGATATTTTATCTTTGCCATGATGACAGTATATAATATTTGACTAGATATATTTCAAGACACTTCTATACAGCTTAAAGAGATATTTAAAGGCTTAACTTGGTTAATTAGGTTAACTAGGCAGGTCAGGGTAATTAGGCAAGTTATTGTATAACGACAGTTTGTTCTGTAGACTATCGAGGAAAAAAATAATGCTTAAAGGGGCTAAAAATATTGACTTTAAAATGGATTTTAAAAAAAACAACTGCTTTTATTCAAGTTGAAATAAAACAAAAAAAGACTTTCTCCAGAAGAAAAAATATTATCAGACACTGTGAAAATGTCTGTGCTCTGTTAAACATCATTTGGGAAATATAAAATAAATAAATAAATAAATAAATAAAATAAAATCAAAGGGGGCAAACAATTCTGACTTCAACTGTTCATATAAGAATGACTTATAAAAGATCATGTGACCCTGAAGACAAGTAATGATGATACAAATTCAGCTTTGTAATCAGAGTATAAATACTATGTGACAGCATTTCACAATATAACAGTTTTGACTATATTTTGAACCTAACAAATGGAGATTTGTGAAAACAAGAGAGCAAATGTGAGTCATTGGCAAAACAGTAGGTTGTTTACAGTTGCCAAGCAAGCTGAAGCATTAACATGGAATTTAAATGTCCCTTTTATGATAGAGACTATAATGCTAAGAAACAAGCCAAGATTAGCTGGGAATTTGTAAATGTAGTAACCCTAAAAATAGACCAAATCAGTAAGCTGCTATAAACATTAGCAGCCATTTTGAGCTTAAACTCTTTATAATGCATAAACAAACTGAATGTTTGACTAACCAGGTAGCTCAGGTTTCTCTTTCACTTCTCCTTCTCCAACCGGCGGGCCCACTGGCTCCACGCAAGGGGATGTAGCATCCACAGGGATTGGGGCATCTGTAACTCCAGGAACAGGCACTGCAGACACCGGCTGAGAATGGATATTAAAATAAATTAACAAAAAGCTAAATGATTCCAGCACTTAAACTAATTTTTACTGGTGCACATTGAATGCTTAATAATTGATCGTAACACGACTGTTTACCTCAACATCTGCTTTGTCCTCCAGACTGACAATCTCTAGCAAGTCTTCATCCGCTGAAAGGCTGGACTCTTTGGACTGCCCAACAGACGGAGGCTTTATGACCACAAACACATGCTGAGAGGGGTTGACAACACATTCTCCAGGAGGCAGAGGAATGAGCGAGGTTAGAGAACTGGGGTCAGACAGGTAGATCTGTGGTGGGTCTCCTAAACTCTGGCTCTTCTGTGCTTGATTGTTCTGTGAGATATAAAACACTGAGATATATAAAACAATGCAGAACAATGGCATGTTGACCTGTGCTTTAATGAGCAATGGTACATTAATGAGCAATGCACAAGCTTATACATCATTTACATACACAGTGTGGCATCTTCAAATGTAAAAAGAAAATCTTATGAGGAACTATGGCTTATGATTTGTTTATTTTACTTATCAGCAACTTATAGCAAGAATAACATTGATATGATACATTCAGAATAATATACACTCACTGGCCACTTTATTAGGTACACCTTACCAGTACCGGGTACATTTGAGTACTGTGAACTTACTGTCATGTTCAAGAAACCAGTCTGAGATGATTTGCGCTTTATGAAATGGTGTGTCCTGCTGGAAGTAGTTATTAGAAGATGGGTACACTGTGGTCATAAAGGGATGGACATGGTCAGCAACAATACTCAGGTAGGCTGTGGCGTTGACACGAAGCTCAATTGGTACTAATGGGCCCAAAGTGTGCCAAGAAAATATCCCACACACCATTACCCCCCTATCACCAGCCTGAACCGTTAATAAAAGGGAGGATGGATCCATGCTTTCATATTGTTGACAGCAAATTCTAACCATATTATCCGAATGTCAGAACAGAAATCAAGACTCATCAGACCAGGCAACGTTTTTCCAATTTTCTATTGGGCAATTTTGGTAAGCCTATGTGTGGTGTGGTCTTCTGCTGCTGTAGCACATCCGCTTCAAGGTTGGACGTGTTGTGCGCTCAGAGATGCTCTTCTGCATACCTCAGTTATAACGAGTGGTTATTTGAGTTACTGTTGCCTTTCTATCAGCTTGAACCAGTCTGGCCATTCTCCTCTGACCTCAACAAGGCATATGCACTCACAGAACTGCCGCTCACTGGATATTTTCTCTTTTTCAGACCATTCTCTGTAAACCCTAGAGATGGTTGTGCATTTTCAGCGGTTTCTAAAAATATTCAGACCAGCCCATCTGACACCAACAATCATGCCACGTTCAGAGTCACTTAAATCACCTTTCTTTCCCATTCTGATGCTCGGTTTGAGCTGCAGCAGATCATCTTAACAGGGCTCGAAATTGCGACCATTTTGGTCGCATATGCGCCCGAAAATTAATCTATGCGACCTCATAATATATCTGGGAGCATTAGTGCGACTACAGATAATGGTTGTAGTGCAACCTGTTTTGAGTTTTTTGTAAAAACGTGCTGAATCGCTCTTCCCTGCCGCTATATTGGTTCATATTAGCTGTCATTTACTCAAGGTATTCCGCTGTCAGAAGAAAGGGAAGGAGCTTTTATGACCACGGGAAATGCAAACGGCTGAAGAGTGAAAACCTAAAGCACACAGGTTTGCAAACCCTACCTAAAGTTGAGGCGCAGATGAAAGCGATCATGACACGTCACGTGGTGAATAATGATCCGCCAGCCGAGATCAATCGAGTACGCGCTTCTTGGAGAAGGTGCCCGAATCTCCATCCGTTGCATTCACTGCGTGTTTAGCGCAAATGTCCGCTAAAAGTCAAATCTAATACTGTACATATCATCGCCAAAGGAGCTCGCCTTTACTAAGTTTACACTGAAACTGCGGCTCATAACAAAGACCGGTATTGCGCCGATGGTTAGCGCAAGAGTCCTGCTCTGCCTGCTCATAAATTGGGTCGGCTGACTCGCCAGCTTTCCACTAACAAAGAAAAATGAAGATCATCTCAGACTGAACCTCTAAATTGACACAAACTGAAACCAAAACTTTTAAAGAGTGATAGTGAGACTTACTTTCTTTTGTCTATTCTTTTTGAGGTGTATATTATTTTTTTATTTATTTACTGATTACTGCTTTGCAGCTTTCATCATTGAATTGAATGATTTATTATAATCTTTTGTTTGTTTTGTAGCAGAAATATTATTTATTAAATTGACATGCATATAAAAACAGCAGTACAAAAAAAATATTTCTTACTGCAATGCTCAATTTTTGTTTGATGCAAACTAAACAATTATTTTTCATAAATTAACAGACTTTTTATAGCAGATAACCTACATTCATGCACATTCAAGGCAGTATCATAATGAGAAATGGAATTCATTGTTACTATTATTGTCATTTTTTATCATCATTAATATTCTATGGCCTAATTATTAGACATTCATTTTGGAATTATTGCACACAAATATCAATGTCTTCGCAGCATTAGTTAGATAGTTGTTTCTGGTTTTTGTCAGTCCTATTAAATGTTGTTTTAAAATACAATAAATCCCTTAAAAAACAATTTGCAGCGGTGCTCATTCATTTTTGGTGGATGCTCCTAAATTTTTTCTGGTGCTCCTAAAATTTTTTTGGTGCTCCTAAATATCTGAAGTTGGGAGCACCGGTGCTACCAAGTAAAAAAGTTAATTTCGAGCCCTGTCTTAACCATGTCTACATGCCTAAAAGCATTGAGTTGCTGCCATGTGATTGGCTGATTAGACATTTTTGTTAATGAACAGTTGGACAGGTGTACCTAATAAAGTGGCCGGTGAGTGTAGATATAATATAATATAGATATATTACAATATATTAGAAACATATTACATAATAACAACTTCATATTTCAGTAAGCGTTGATATAAAACAAATAAATAAATTGCAAACATGTATATTAAAGCATTTGATATGATTTTTCAGTTCAATAACTCAGTGTGGCTTGTGAAGCAAATTTTCATATTCACTTTAAACAGTTCGCTGATAGCATTTGTGCAAATGTGTCACACTGCAGCCAAATGTTTACTTTAGTTTTTGAGTAGCAAAGAACTGCGTACATGTGATGTACATTTTGTAATTACTGCAGTATGCATGTGCTGTATGAGCACCACCAGATATGTTTTACTACACAATGTATGCACAGAATGCACATGCACTCTGAACATAGCTTATCCACAAGGCTTCAACATAACACATTACTGAAAAAGGCAAAAACAACAGATGCCTTTGTTGACGAGTGCTTGGGGAGGATTTAAAAATACCTGCAACTCTATTTTAAACACTGACACCAAAATCGTGTCTAAAACTTGGCATGAAAACAGCTTCATAGTATTTTCCTCACTATTATGAAGCATATTAGAGTGAGAAAAAAAACAGATATAATCAACAAGAAATAAAAATTGCTTGATTTTGTCCAACAGGGATTAATAGGAAGATCGGATTAGGGCTGCACAGTTTATCACTGAATTATAGTTATCGCGATAATAATATATGCAATATATGTATCGCAGACATGTGTGATACATTTATTTTATGCATTGGTTGTTTATCTAAGTGCGGCACAATGGCTCAGTGGGTTGCACTGTCGCCTCACAGCAAAAAGGTCGCTGATTCGAGTCCTGGGTGGACCAGTTGGCATTTCTGTGTGGAGTTTGCATGTTCTCCTTGTGTTGGCGTGGGTTTCCTCCAAGTGCTCTGGTTTCCACTACAGTCCAAAGACATGCGCTATAGGTGAATTGAATAAACTAAACTATCTGTAGTGTATGAGTGTGTGTGTGAATGAGTGTGCATGGGTGTTTCCCAGTACTAGGTTGAAGATGGAAGGGCATCCGATACGTAAAACATTTGCTGGAATAGTTGGCAGTTTAATCTGCTGTGGCGACCCCTGATAAATAAGGGACTAAGGCGAAAGAAAATGAATGAATGAATGAATGAATGTTTATCTAAGTTTGACGTCAGATGGGGCCTTACAATCTGAGTAGATTGCTATTGGCTGGAGTGGGCCAAAAGTACAAATAAATACTAATAATGAGAGTTAAGACATTAGAGGAAAACGACAACAGCCAATCAGAGTCAGAATATCTGCTGAGGTTTTCATTCATACAAAGGGCCCTATCATACACCCAGCGCAATGCGGCACGACGCAATTGTTGTTTGCTAGTTTCAGCTCGACGCAAGAGTCATTTTGATGTTTTGCACCAAGCTGTTTAAACAGCAAATGCATTTGCGCTCATATGTGCGCCCATAGGCGTTCTTCTCCAAAAAGGAGGCGAGTTGAGGCGAATTACTGGTGCGTTGCTGTTTTGAGGGACTAAAATGCACTATTCAATAGACAAGCAGAGAGGTGGTCTAATGTCCAGCGCAGAGCGCGTTACTTGTGCGCCTTGCTTAATACACACAGGATGTATAGCAATATGCATATGTTTACAAATGAAAAAGAAGTAAAGAAATAAAATATTACAAAAGTTTTTTTTTAGCCTAAAGCATAAATATAAACACTACTGCCTCCATGCCTTCTTCATCTGGGGGGGGCTTTTTCAGTTTTTATGACAATTTGCTTTTGTATGATATTATTATTATCATTATTACTATTTATTATATGAATATTTATATTTGTTTTATAGGTTATGTCTGTGCGTAAAACATGTTTGCCTATCCATCAAAGTGAAAGTGAAAGTAAAGAATGAGGAGGCTCATCTCTCATTCTCGCGCTGTAGATGCTCTGTTTAACTGTTTTCTTGCTAGTGAAGCGCTCAGTTTTACCACTAACAAAGTCCGCCATGTAAATAGCAAATACGCTATGCAACTGACTCTTAAAGGGAATGGGAGATGAGACTCTGATTGGTTTATTTTCATAACACACCCTCAACTCATTAAGAGAATAAGCTTAACCCTGTTATACACTGCACCATGGCGAAAAGCGGATTTTTCCTTAAAATAGCAAAAGTGGATTCTGACACACCCTTAATGCTTTTGCGCCCTACACTTTGCGCCCTGATCGTCAAAATAGAGCCCAAAGTGTTTTAAAGACTGAATGTTTACAAATTAACACAATTTATTATTCTGAATTAGATCTGAAAACATATCCTTCACCTGTTTATTTTAATATAATCACACAAATAAATTATTTAAAAACAGATCTAATAAAAATAGCATTTTTCTAGAGAAATATTATACTGTAACATATGTTGTGTTCGCAATACTGCATATATTTCCAGTATCGTTCAGCCTTAGATTGCAAGGTTATCTTTATGTATTGGTGAATTTTATACGAGATGTTGCCCTGCCCTCACACCAGTAAAAACATCAAATAAAAAGAAATGTTGATTAAAAGAAAGATGGGAATTTATAAGATGACAAGAGGACATAGACTAAAAAATGATGCACTTTTATAATAAATACTGCATTTTTACATTTAAAACAAACAAACTGACTATACAGAGTGAGTCTAGATGAGTGTTAAAGAGTGAATCTCTACCGTGATTGCAGTGGCAGAGCCGGAGGGAGTCTGGGGGCTGAGGGCTGGTGTAGCACATGGTGAAGGCTGGGTGACTATCACCTGCAGATTGCTGCTCTCCACAGTCGACTGCGCTTGAACACTTCCCTGCTGTCCTTCTGTCTGACAAACTCGCATCTGCAGCATACATATGCATAATCACTGTCATTTAAATACCTGACTCCCAATGTGCCACAAAAGGTTTTAACCCATTGAGAGCTCATTTAACTAATGATTTACAGTAGGGAAAATAAGTATTGAACACGTCAGCATTTTTCTCAGAAAACATATTTCTAAAGATGTCGCTGACTTAAAATTTTCACTGGATGTTGGCAACACCAAAGAAATGCATCTCTAAAAGACATTGGGTTATTTATTTAACCCAATAGTTGAGTTAAAAAATTATTTGGTGGCTTGTTGAGCTAATTTGAACCTTTATTTTGTTATTTTCTAATAACTCAACCAATTGGGTTAAATAATGGGTGCTTTGTTGGGTTATTTTTAGCCTTTGTTTATTACACATAATTATTTTTTTTTATGCTTGTATTGTTTGGGTTTTTACCAAAACCAGGTTCAACTCCATGTTAAAAGCTCCTTCAGAAATATTATTCCCTGGAAAAAAAATAATGTGTTCAATACTTATTTCTCCCACTTTATGACAGACTTAAAAACAGAATGAAGTCCTGACCTCATGCATGGTGCGGTCCAGAGATGCAGGTTTAGGATTGCAGTCATTTAAGACATGCTCTGTTTTGATGAGTTTGGAGTTGCCTTTGCAGGGCGTCTGCAGAGACTGAATAGTGAAAGTGGAGTAGAGACCAGACTTCATGTAATCGTTGCGGGAGCTGCGTTGCACTGAACTTGGGGAGGAGCGCTGAACCTGCAGGCTCTTGGAGAGGCATTGGTTGGCGGTGGTAGCACCACCCATAGGTTTGGTCTGGATGGACAGCTCCAGTTTCTCCCCCGTAGAGGCCCTCTGGGAATCCTCGGTCCCCTTCAGTCCATCAGCAGAGTTTGGGTCCGGATAGGTTACAAACTTGTAGACAAACTTCTGACCGCTAACTTTCTTAATAATGTTCTGTGGGAGCATAAAAGTCTTGATGACAAATGGAGCAAAAATAATATCCATCTCAACTTAAATCTTTAAGCCTTTACTTTAATCTTTAATGTTTTTTCATTGTAGTTAATGGCATTTGCTATTATTAAAATATTATAACATAGTACATTGATCATTAGGCAAAGGTTAATTATTAATATATTAATAATATATACTGTGTGTATTTATAATGTATATATAATCTGCATTTATCATGCATATATTTGAGAAAAAAAAATTATATTCAGATTTAAATTTGTTTATATTAGGGGTGTAACAGATCACTGTAAAATATAATGAGAGAAGAAGTTGTGGTGTGTTATTCAGGATGTGGTTGGTTTTTTAGGTTATTAAAGGTGTTTTCTGTAACTACTTGTTTAGCCTTCAATAATGCATTGAGTGTAAGCTGCACGATTAATCCTTAAAAGATCAGGTTCTCAACACCCACATAACAAAAAATACAAATAAAGTTGATTTGCATATGTTTATTAATCCTTCGAATCACTGCATTCAAATCTGTGTTTGAAAAATGCAAAAAATCAAAAAAAGATTCAGTTTTTAGTCTTTGAGTTGGTTATGAAGTTACAAACAGTCAAGTAACACAAAAATACTGGGATAACAGTTTATGGTTTAGATAAAACCACTGATGTTTATGGTAAACATTAATCCCACATCCTCATCATATCCTCAAAAACGAAAGTTGTAGGCAGCAATTACATTATTTACCCAATAAGTGGCGACATCCAGTCATCAAAAATAAGCTACTAAATAATTCTTCAAAAATGATCCATCTAGCATTGAAACATGAAGTTTTATGAGTGAATCACTTATTGAAAATGAGACTAAAAATAAATATGGGTTGTACAGATCTATGAAAGCTGAAATCGTACCTAATACTTCTCCAGGCTTCAGTCTGATTCATTAAATTTAAACCAAGGGTGCCCAAACTTAACTTAAGGCCAAAAATTAAACTTGCTTGATCCTAATGGTCCAAAGGTAAATATAGTTGCCATGGGTAATATCCTAATTTATTTAATAATATTTAAAAACTACAAAAACTTTGCTTTAAGTTAACCAATACAGTATTTTATATTAACTAATACAGTTTTTTTTATAATGAACTTATAACAGTTAAAACTAATTTATAACAGAAACTAATTTATAACAGAATTACACTAGTTTTTTGCCTTGATTTGCTCACCGATGTCTTCTGGATAGTCCTTCATCCGTCAAGTGACAGTATTTATATTTGTAAAATCAGATTCATATACAACATTTAATTGAAACAATTAAACAGAAAAACAAAAAACAAAAAAAAAGTGATAACAATCTCTGAACTCTATGTTAAAGGCATTCACCCCAACCCTCTCCATCATTCTCACTCTCCTCTCAGATGGGATGATGGGCCAAATCAAATGAACTCAATGGCTCAACTTTGGCCCGCAGGCCCTACTTTGGGCATCTCTGGCTTAAACAATTAGAAGCATTTCATTTTTGTTATCAACAACACTGCAGCTCAAAAATGTTCAGAACTGTTCTGCTGCTTACTATTCATGTGTGAACTATAATAAGTGTTTTTGAGGGTTCTTTAATATATACACAGTTCAAATGAGCAGATTCCTATTAATGACAATTAAGTATTATTATCCTAATGACCCTAATAATAGGATGCACATAATTTAACATGATTATTCTTACCATTATTTGTAAAACTGACTCAATGTACAATCATAGTGATTCTTACACATACCTTATCATAGTAGTAACGAAGTGCCCTGCTTAGTTTATCATAGTTCATGTTGGTTTTGTTCTTGCGAAGACCCCAGAGTCTGGCCACCTCCTCAGCGTCCAGCAGTTTGAATTCCCCGTCCCCAGATGTCCAGGATATCAAGTGCTTCTGATTCTGATCATCCAGGAGGTGAAGCAGGAACTGCCACAATGTAATGGACGGATCCATCGCTACAGGGCACAGAAAACAGACCATTACCTTGTGCAGAGTAAAACCTACTGATTAAAGTTTAGGGGTGTTAAGGGGTTACTACCATGTGAACTTTGTTGAAAAAGGGACTAGTATAGGGATTAGTATAAGCAATATTGCACAATCAAGTCATAATGTTGCTGAAATATAAAGCGTTCAAAATAGTTAAGCCATACTTAAAAACAGCCAATGAAAATAGTGCTGTCAAGTGTTTACTTTGATATTTAACACTATAAGTAGGGACTAAAATGGAATAATTAGGCTATAACCTGATATAAAACAGCTCAACAACATTGCTAGTGTTTTTATTGAAATACAAACTGACTGACTGTGATGATGCCTGCTTATAATATACTGTACTCTAAGAACAGAGATCAAATTAATAATAAAAATAATGCTTCTAAAAAAAGATAGATTATTTGTCAGAGGAAGTCAGTTCTGAAAGTTAAGACATGCTAAAAAAAAAAAAACCTGCCTTTTTGGGGATTTAACCAAATCTACCAGTCACTGAAATAATATAATATTTAAATTATATTTCTATAATATATCTATTCTTCAATGTGGAAGTGTGCTCGTTTTTGCAGTTGTTTTACAACTTCTGATTCAGTTGCCTATGGAAGAAATTACTAGGAATAATTAATGGCAGAAAACAGTTAAACTACTTAGCTCTACAAACAAGGGTGTTCATGACTGTAGAGGCAAAATAAAATAATATAATAAAATTATCAGTTTGCAACATCAAGCAGCAAAACAAGCTGTTTTTACACATCTAAAAATGAATGGAAGTGAATGAGACCAGAAATCTCGAGCCAAAAAGATTCAAATGGCTGCGCCTGCTCGTAAGCAGAGAATAGGCCCACACATATCCACAGATTTTCTAAGTTGATTAAAAAGCATTTTTATTTTCTTGTCGGCTTAGTCCCTTTATTAATCTAGGGTCGTCACAGCGGAATGAACCGCCAACTTATCCAGCACATTTTTACGCAGCGGATGCCCTTCCAGCCGCAACCCATCTCTGGGAAACATTCACACACACACTCATATACATACTCATTACACAACAGACAATTTTAGCCTATCCAATTCACCTGTACCACATGTATTTGGACTGTGGGGGAAACCGAAGCACTTGGATGAAACCCACGCGATCGCAGGGAGAACACATAGAAATGCCAACTGAGCCAAGCCGAGCCGAGGTTCGAACCAGCGACCTTCTTGCTGTGAGGCGACAGCACTACCTACTGCGCCACTGCATCGCCACATTTTCATCTACATTTCTAACAAAAAAATCTGAAAACTGAATGATGTTAGGTAAAAATTTCTTGTTTCTTATTTTGTCACATAACAAAGTGAAAGATTTATACAAAGGGGATTTTAAGTGTGTCTTTTCATCAGTCAACAACTGTGAATAAACAGAAAAAGCTATGAAGCTAATAAAAAGAGTGCAGGCGCACTGAAAAGGGATTTTTTTTGCCATACAAAATCTGTGCCTGAAGTAATCTGTAGATTTTCTAACCTATACAGTCTATTATTTATTTACTTATGTAAGTGTGTGTAAAACATTAATTTAGTTTCTATATAGATTTATTTTCATAATGTCATACAGGAATTTAGAACTGGAAGTAAAGATTAGTTTAAGAAAAGGATTCAACCAAATCTACAAGTCACTGAAATAATATTATTTCTTGTATTTATAAGCCCACACATATCCACAGATTTTCTAAGGTAAAAGTTTTCTAAAATCTGAAAGCTGAATGATGTTAGGTTAAAAAATATTTTTTGCCACACAACAGAGTAAAAAAAATATACAAAAGGGATTTTGAGTGTCTCTTTTCATCAGTCAACAATTGTGAATAAGCTATGAACAGCTAATAAAAGTGCAGGTGCATTTTGCCATACGAAATCTGTGCCTGCAGAAATCTGTAGATTTCATCATGTCTATTTAGATACTTTTGTAAATGTGTGTAAAACATATTCTTTCAGCTTTAATATAGATTTAATGTCACAATGTCATATAAGAATTCAGTTCTGGAAGTTAATAATAGTTAAAGAATTTCAAAAAAAGATTTTTTGGGGTTTTAACCAAATCTACCAGCCACTGATATAATATGGGTGTCAAATGCTTATTACCACGTCAACATGGTAAAAAAAGGACTACAATTAAAATGCATGCAATCAGTACGCTTTATCTAAGCGTAAACCAACTCAAAGTGACTAGTGATTTTACTGAAATACATACTGAATGACTGTAGGGCTGCACATTATTGAAAAAAAACTGACATTGCAATATTTATATTCACTGCGATATATAACATGATATAAATGCAATTTCAGCAGATGACTTGAATAGCTGGTAAAAATTCATAATTTTAGATCGATAGTGATGATTTTGTATGGTAGCGTATCTACATAAAATAAAATTTAAAAATGACAAGCGAAGTTAAATACAACAGAAAAAAAATGCAAATAAACAATGATTAATGATTTTTTGGGGAGTCAAACAGTATTCAGATGCAGTAATTAAATAATAACTGTAAAATTATAAAAATATACTTTTAATTGAGTAAATAATTAATAAATGCACAATTCATCTTTAAGCTACAAATGTCATTTATTGTGCCCAATTGGTTTAAAATTGCCTCAAATTCTTACAGTCAGGTTTTAAAAACACATGCAAATAATACACTTTCACTTTAAGGTCAAAATATGAAATAACTCCACTATGTTGTAACTGTAATGTCTGGTCAACTATAGTTCCAACTAGATTGCAGATCCCTGCGATGTGACTGTTGCGGACTTGCACATTGCAATATCGATGCGAAAAATATATTTTGTACAGCCTTAATTGACTGTGATGACGCCTGCTTGTAAAATATTGTACTTTTATCTGAAAAACTGATTTCATGTGACAGCAACTGAAATACATCACATCCTCAGCACAGTGAATTAAATCATCTTTCTTTAGATATATAGGCCCAATCCCAATTCCAACCCTTTTTTAGTTCTGCGTCAAGTGATCGGTGCATCTGCATCGGTTTCTGTTGCTTTGCAATAACACTTCCGAAATGCTAGCTGGCAGTAAGTGTTTATGTTCCTCTGTGTCAAGTTTCTTCTCGGGTGTTTTGTTTTTTCTGAACGCTAGCTTTTAATGTACAAGTGGCTCAAACTTGCTTATTTTGAGGCTGGAATTGACAGACGTGCAATAACTTTAATCATAAGGTAAACACAAAACAACAGTTTCCATCCAGAGCTCCTTAACAGGACTCCACACTTGTAAACTCTCACCTCCGGCAGGTGTTGTAGTGCTGTCCCATATCTTAGGAGTGAATTTGATGCCTTCCCCTTCACGCTCTGTTTCAAGGACCAAGGGAAATGGGAAGGGATACAAAAATAAAATTGGGATTGGGATTTTTCACAGTATTCCCTATAATATTTTTTTCTTCTGTAGTACGTCTGATTTGTTTTATTTTGGCTAGAATAAAAGAAAACCATTTTAATGTCAATATTATTATCCCCCTTAGAAAATATTTTTTCCATTTTTCCTACAGAACAAGCCACAGTTATACAATGATGTGCCTAACTTGCCTAATTAATCTAGTCAGGCCTTAAATGTCACTTTAAGCTGAATACTAGTATCTTGAAAAATATCTAGTCAAATATTATGTAAAATCTCAGAAATAAAGGTACAAGTGCTATCACTAGCTGCCTTTTCAAAGGTACAAGTTTGTAACTACAGGGTCCATATTCATACCTCAAGGGTACATACTAGTCAGGGTTCAATGCTATGGATTTATTATACTAGCCCGATTGGTCCAGCACTTCAGATTTTTCACCGAACCCCCCGAAAAAAAGTCAAAGTTAATGGCTATTTCTTAGCCACATGTTTTAAATATTGTAAAAAAAATGTATTTGTATCTAGAAAAAATTTAATAAATGTATAATAAGCAAATCGTCGCTCTGTAGCCATGTAAACGTCTGCTTCCAAGACAGCCTTTTAGCCTCATAATTTGAGGTTGCCATCACTTCGCTGTACTGGTTTTTACCAGGTTACAAAAAAACGTCATGGTCTCAATATGAAATCAGATAATGCCTAGTTCACACTAGAGGATTTTAAACCTGATTTAAACCCGATTTGGAAGTTAACGAGCTCGCCGACAGATCGGGCTGTGATCGGGAAGAAATCTGCGGGTGCACGGCGCTCGCCGCTCTTTATGTGTGAACTACTGAACAACTTATCAACGAGGCTAAATATGCTAAATATGCTAAATATTCCAGAGCAGTCAGCCGACTCAACCCCACGTGTGGTCAAATGTAGTAGCGAGCTACAGCCAATGAGAGAGCATATCAGCATGAGCTGAATGGCTGTGTGTTCAGGAGCTCAGCAGAAACATCTGTGATTGGTCAGAATGGGCATCAGTGCACTCGCTTCATTCTGCGTTAGAACAGACATGAGAGTAGGCTATATTAACAGTGGAACTAGAATTCTGTAACTATTAGAATGACCATACTGCTCATTCTGACTGCTCTCATATGAAACGCCATATTGTCACAACATATTTACATTCAAAGCTATTATTGAGATATTAAAATTAAGCTTTGAATGTCTGGCATCATATTTAATGACACCATTACCTAAAAATATAATCTTTTTTTGGTAATACAGCCTATAAATATGTAGTTAAGATTCTAAAACACTTAAAGGCTTGGCTTTCATTTTCACTTTCAAACAGGAGCAATTTCCCGGCACAAAATATGCTGTTTTGAAAGATATCTGAAGTAAATTGATGTTTTTGCCATCAGAAAGTTTTGTTTATGTTAGCAGGAAGTTGCCAGGCAAGAAAATACAAACATATTTAAAGTCACAGCGAAAAGTATCAGACATGCATGCAGTCATTTTGACCAATATGGTAATTTAAGGCAGAAATGCTCAGTTCTTTACTGTTTTGTAATAAAAAAAAATAACAATGTCAGAAAGAAATAC